GCCTGTAGTCCCAGCTACTCAGGAGGCTGAGGCAAGAGAATTAATTGCCTAAGCCCAGGAGCTGGAGGTTGCTATGTGCTGACACCACAGCACTGAGGGCAATAAAGTGAGACTCTGTCTCAGTAAAGACTTGTTTTTGTAGTGGCTCACTGTGCAACCATCTGTAATACAGTCTTACCTTTCAATTGAAACATATTTTTTCTATTATAGTTTTTTTCTTTGGGTCTTTACTTTAGCATTCTGTTAATGATATTATTATAAAATAGCTTCTTCTTTGGCTGGTGTGGTGGTTCCTTTCTCTAATCCTAGCACTCTGGGAGGCTGAGGCAGGAGGATCGCCTGAGGCCAGGAGTTAGAGACCAGCCTGGATTCTGTCTCTATAAAAAAATTTTAAAAATTAGCTGAGCATGGCGGCACATGCCTGTAGTGCTAGCTACTTGGGATGGTGAGATGAGAGGGTTGCTTGATCCCAGGAGTTTGAGGTTATAGTGAGATATAATCATCTCTGTACTCTAGTCTGGGTGACGAGGGAGATTCTCTAAAGTGAAAAAAAAAAGGCTTGTCTGATAATTGAAGATAAAGAAGCATCACATACTTATCCAAATTAATTTTAACCTTTCAAATTAATTTTTAAGTAGCCTGACTCCTAAGAAATGTGCTGAGCTGTTTATTGTAACATTATCTTTGTGGAACCGTAAAAGGAGGTGATTTTCTCTTACCCCCAATCTGTAAAATATATAGACGAGAATTAGTAATACAGCTAGTATTTAAGTGTTGAGTTTAAAGGGTCTTGATTTTGAAAGCTGACCAGAATTTGTCTGGTTCAGCCATTTAACAGCTGTGTGGCCTTACGCTAGTTAATGTCTTTGAATATCAGTTGTCATATTTATAAAGCAAGACAAGCTGGTGGGGGTAGTAAGCTACTTCTCCCTGCCATCTTGTCTAGGTTGCCTTTCCAATCAGGTCATTCTGCAGTAAGTGCTGTAATCAGGAGGTAAGATCTAGAAACTGTTTAAAGCATGGCTTTTAGTTGGCTTTTTTATTACTGCCTCAAATTTTCTGTTAAGCTATTCTTGGCAAATAGCAAAGGCCTGCTATATTTTCTAGTAGAAGAATAGGCTGTGCTTTCTGTATTTGTTTCATATTCTCTTCCCCTATATAAAGATTTGGGGCTAAGAGTTAATTTCTAGATCTGATTTTAAGAATTCAGCATTTTGTGTCATGTTTTCTTAAAAGGGCAATCTTTTTGCCTGGATGTAACTGAATTCTCATGTCTAGAAAAGGAAAAAGTACACTGCCAAACCTGACTCACTGCTGACAGAAGATAAGGAACGGCTAATCACAGGGCAGACTGACTTCATCGTGCATGGTGATAGGAGAAGAATGAAAATGAGGCAGCGCCTCAGAGGATTCAATTAAAAGTGATTTGAAACTTCCTTTGTTAGATAACTGCCTTTCCTTACATGGACTGAGGAAACAGCATGAGAAATCAGAAAAGGTTTTGTTGTAGAGTTAAAATTCATTTGTGGTTGCATCACTGTGGTATTGGTGTGGTATGCAGTGGTGTAGAAAGGAGCCCCTTAGTCAAATGAAGAAGTTAAAGTTAAAAAAAAATGTTTTGGGGCTGTTCATGGTGGTGTGTACATATAGTCCCAGCTACTTGGGAGGCTGAGGGTGGAGGATCGTGTGACTCTAGGAGTTTGAGGCTGCAGTGTGCCATGATCATGCCTGTAAAAAGCTACTGTCCTCCATCCTGTGCAACAGAGTCACTCCATCTCTACAAAAAGCACTGCCTTTGGTAACTAGGTGTGATTTCCTATAGGTTGTATTGCTATTTAAAAAAAAGAAAATTCTTATAGCCTCATGTACTATAATTCAAATAATGTATTTAAAATTAATTTAGATAATTCAGTACCTGATCATATTTGGTGCTACAAAAATACCTCTTATAACTTGCACATATACTTACACATATATGTATGTGTCGTAGAGGAAGGTCTGGAAGACTATAAACCTTTGTCATGGATTTTTCTGGGGGAGGATGGCACTGGGACGGTGGAAGAGACTTTTGCATTCTTCACTGTGGGTTCAGAGAAGTGAGCAGTCAACGTGTGCCACATCAGTAGGAGAAGAGTTTAAGGAACAGCTTTCACAAAGATGTGGGAGGGGTTGTTCCCCTTCTGGGGAATATATGAGTCTAAGGTGTTTCTTACTACCTAGATTGTGCAAAATATCTTGCTTTGAGAATACAGAGGTGAGTAAGGCATGATGCCTCCTCATCTTATTGGATAGATGACAACATTGATACCTAGGGATGCATATATAAACACAGTGGGATGCGTTTGTAAAGGGAAGCTCACAGAATGTGCTGGAAGTTCAGACAAGGGGAAAATAACCCCCACAAGGGGTTCTTGTGGTCGCTCATGCCTGTAATGTTAGCACTCTGGGAAGCTGAGATAGTAGGATGGTTTGAACTCAGGAGTTTGAGACCAACCTGAGCAAGAGTGAAACCCCTGTCTGTTCTAAAAATAGAAAAAATAGCTGGTGGTTGTGGCAAGTGCCTGTAGTCCCAGCTTCTTGGGAGGCTGAGGCAAGAGGATCGTTTGAGCCCCAAAACTTGAGATTGCTGTGACCTATGATGCCTTGGCACTCTTCCAAAGGGAGCAGAGTGAAACTCTGTCTCAAAGGAAAAAAAAAAAAAGAGAGAGAGAGAGATGGCCAGTTTTAAATCGGGTCAGGAAGCCAGTGGCTTAAAAAAAAAAAAATACAGGCTTTGAGAGAATGAAGGTGAGTTGTTCTTTTGTGGAAGACACAGAAGTGGATGTTGCTATTATTAAAAACAGCAGGGGATGGCAACCTTATTGAGGAACACATTTACTTTCATGATTGTAAAAAAATAAGATTCTAGGAATTAATCTCAATTAATGTAAGAAAAGTTTTCCAAAGTGTTTATTTTTAGATAATGTTTGTTTTTACATAATGTTTTTTTCTAGAGCTTACCATGGTGGACGTTGAGATATGTGAATATCCACCAGCAGTTGCTTGAGGAACGCTCACTTCAGCTTTTTGCTCTTGCTGGCAACTGTATTAATGAAGGTACGTAGCAGATTTTTGATATGGGCAAGTATCTGCACTCAAATTTCTTGGCTAAGACAGTTTCTTTTCAGTTTATTCTTTGACAGGTAGTGTTTTATTTTTTCTGGGAATATAGAAATATCACAAATCATTAGGGTATCAGATTACAGAGTTTCTTTTGATCTTTTGAGATTTTGTTTTTTGTTTTTTGGTTTTTTTTAGAGACAGAGTGTCACCCAAGAGATACTTTGTTGCCCTTGATAGAGTGCTGTGGCATCTTAGCTCAGAGCAATGTCCAACTCCTGGGCTTAGGCGATTCTCTTGCCTCTGCCTCCTGAGTAGCTGGGACTACAGGCACCCACCACAATGCCCGGCTATTTTTTGTTGCAATTTGGCCGGGGTTGGGTTCAAACCCACCACCTTTGGTATATGGGGCCGGTGCCCTACTCACTAAGCCACAGGCACTGCCCTGGTCTTTTGAGTTTTTAAAAAGGCAACCACTTTCATATATATTACTTACATATAATGGGTGAATTGCTCTCTGTAGGTCACTGTGATTTTATCATAGATTGCTTAAGGATATTTTAATGTTTTCTTTGCTCTTTAAGAAGTCTCATTGGAAACAAATGTAAATTTTCTTTATTATCATTAGGTTTTTAAAAAAAAAATCCTTAACTAACTCAAGTAAATCATGCTAAGTTATATGCAAAATAGGATAGTCTTTATCCTGTTGAGTAGGTGAAGAAAGCTTTCATTTTTTAAACATTTGATAGAAAATTTATCTTCGTCTGAGGATGACAATGGGAAGGAGGGCTGTTTTACCTTTTATGTTGTTATTTTTTGTATTTTTACAATGTGCACACAGAAAAATGCCTAAAACAGAAATTAAAAATTCAAATAACTGTGAACCAAATAACCGTGTAAATGCCTCCTGCTACTCTTGTTGCAGATACTCCTCCTGTATTGTAGGTAGCTTGACACTTCGTTTCCAGTGTCCCTGGGCTATTGGAACAACTTTTCCTCACAAAAGTTACCAAGCAAAACAAAAGCAAATGCTCTTGTAGTGATAAATACAAGGGAACTTGGACTTGACAATCAGTTTCTGAGTTACAGAGATGGGATTTGACTTTAATTGTATCTAATTCCAAAGCCCATACTCCTTTCACATTCCTGGAGTATGGAATAAGAGAGAGAGTGTGTGTTGTGTGTGTGTGGGGTGGGAGTGGGGTGGGAGTGCTGGTTGGTATCACTGTGTGCAGAAGCAGTGATCTGTACCTGCTGGGTAGCACATTCGTGAGGGCATAAAATAACTTCGGTGTGCAAATGTCATTGCAGGAAGCTCTTGTATTTTACTGGGGTTTGTTTCCTTCAGTGGTTTATCTACATAGCAATACGCTAGGCCAAAATACGGTAGAGAGGACTGTAGCTTATATATCACTAAATATTACAAAGCTAGGTGATTAAAACTAATTTCTCAATGTTTATTTTGTTCTAGGATAGGAATACATATGCATATGCTAATGTTAGATAAAAAGAACATCCATGTATAATTCAAAACGAAAAAGTAAGGAAAGTATTATTCTATTATTCAATCGGTATAATAATTAATTCAGGTATGTTGTCTGTACCAGGACTTAGTTTATAGTCTTTCAGGATTTTAGGTAATATAAGGTTATGGAATAGGCAAGGGCGTGTTAGAACACGCGAGCTTCATTAAACATTATAAATTGTCCCTTGGGATCTTTGGAGGGTTGGTTTTAGGACTCCCCCTTACTCTTCATCAAAGACCTCCAATACACATGAAATCATCTTCAGATTGTTTACAATGTCTAATATAACGTTAGGCAAACGTGACAACCACTACAATATGGAAACAAGTTAATACCTAACGTAAGTGATATGGAAATAGCTGCTAAATTGTATTGTTTTTATTTATATTTTTAATTGTATCTTTTTAAAAAGCTGTTTTTATTTCTCAAATATTTTCAATCCACAGTTGATTGAATCTGTGGATGTGGAACCTGTGGTTATGGAGGGACGACTGAATGTTAAAAAAAAAAATTCTTCTGTCCTAGGATTTATACTTGACTTGGGGTAGCAGATAGTCATTTTATTAATGTAAGGAGTTTGCTTTTCTATGTAATAATATTTCTTAAGTAACAACTGAAAACAGTTTATCATTTTCCTGCAAAAAGTCTTTAGCTTAATGCTTTTGGATTGCAAAAGACTTTTGTGAGCAAAGTTAGCTTACTGAAAAATATGTGTTTTCACTAAGGTACTAAGCACTTTAGATTGTGAGCTCCTTGATCATTGGGTTATTTTGCTTATTTCTATTTAGCATTGCACCTAGAAAATAGTAAATATTTAGTATGTATTTATTGAAAATAACAGACAACATTTATTGAGCCCTTACTATTTGAAACTTTTAGGGGAGAAATTATAGAATTCCCTATAAGGAAGCAATATTGGTATCTGGGCATATTTGCCCGCTATCATAGTAGCAGTTTTTACCTGAGTTAACTTCTTTCTCTTTTTTTTGAGACCAAGTCTCATGATGTTTCCCTTGGTAGAAAACCATGGTGTCACAGCTCACGGCAACTTCCAACTCTTGGGCTTAAGCTATTCTCTTGCCTCAGCCTCCCAAGTAGCTGAGACTACAAGTGTCCACTCTAACTCCCTGCTATTTTTTGGTTGCAATTGTCATTGTTATTTAGGAGGCCTGGGCCAGGTTCGAACCCACCAGTCTCAGTGTTTATGGCCAGCGTCCTAACCACTGAGCTACAGGTGCCGAGCCAATCTGAGTTAACTTCTGAATGAAAGTTTTTCAAAAAGTGGTATGTTATAAAAGTTATGAGAAAACTGACCCTGTACAGTTTTATATGAGACTTTGAATCTTCTCATAATATTGTTGCTTAGGGGCGGCGCCTATGGCTCAAAGGAGTAGGGCGCCAGTCCCATATGCCAGAGGTGGCGGGTTCAAACCCAGCCCCGGCCAAAAACATTGCTTTAAAAAAAAAAAAAA